CACTAAGTTCAAATTAATATTTTAAAACATTGTTTACTACTATATGAAAAATCGCTAGTGAGCAGGGGACTGGAATAGATGCTAATAAAAAGATGATTATGAGACGGTTCCTGACATATGAGCTTTCTTTTAATGCTATTGGAGTGTAAATTACGACATTCTTTTGGAGGCAAACTGACATAATTTTACTTATATCCCCTTTGACATAGTAATTCTACATCTAAAAATTATCCTATGGAAATGCAAATACATGAAGATAGATAAATGTTCAAAGGCATTCACTGCAGCCTACAAAAAAAAATTTGGAAGCACTCAAAAATACTAAATAGAAGACACTTGGATATGAAGATATCGTGAGTCTAGTATAAATAAAAATTTGATGCTAAATTGATAATTTTCTTTCAACTAGTCATATCAGACTCCTTAGAATTTTAGCTAATTAAAGCAAGACTAAGCAATGCTCAGCCACATGCACAATGTCAGGAATAGGGCATGAATTTATCTTCTGACATTTTTCAGATGATTTTGCATTGCATGTACACTTTTTGCTGTATGTTTTGTGGTGCGTTAATTCTGGTATTGTTCTCACAAACTTTAATAAACAACACAATGGGGCCAGGCACGGTGGCTCACAGCTGTAATCCCAGCACTTTGGGAGGCTGAGGCGGGTGGATCACCTGACGTAAGGAGTTTGAGACCAGCCTGACCAACATGGTGAAACCCCATCTGTCCTAAAAATACAAAATTAGCCAGGCCTGGTGGTGCATGCCTGTAATCCCAGCTACTCGGGAGGCTGAGGCAGGAGAATTGCTTGAACCCGGGAGGCAGAGGTTGCAGTGAGCCGAGATTGTGCCATTGCACTCCAGCCTGGGCAACAAAAGCAAAACTCGGTTTCAAAAAAAGAAACAAAAAGACTAAGTTTTTTCCCTTTTATTTAATACTAAATATACATAGAACACTTGCAGTATCAGCAATTAAGTTTGTTCCTTCAAGAGCAAATTCTTATGGCCAGGAAACAATGCTAGTGATTATTTCTTGTACCCATTCAAGCTTGCGTTTTCTATGTAGGAAGAGCATTGATCTGACTGTCTAGCCCTCTAGGGTGCTCAATTACCTACAGTGCAACAGCACAACTCAGGCCTGACGCTGGTTTTCTGGTGCTTTTCATGTGGACAAAATGGGCAGGCCTGATTTCTTGACCATCAAGTTAGGTTTTAGTTTGGAGAAGTATAGGGCTAGGCAAGGTAAAAGGGAGTCCTTGTAGTACAGTGGTCCAGGTACTGTCCCCCAACTATCAACTGGAATCTGTAACAAATGGAAATTCTTGGGCTCTACCCTATACCCACTAAATCAGACACTTACTCTTTCAACCTCCAGGTGTTTTAAGGAACCACCATTCTAATTTACAGTTGATCCTTGACACATAACAGATTTTCTTCCGCCTCTGCCACCCGAGATAGCATGACTAACACCTCTTCTTCTTAGCCCACTCAACATGAAAACAAGTATGAAGATCTTTATGATCACCCACTTCCACTTAATAACAACACTTTTTTCTCTAGCTTACTGTAAGAATACAGTAAATAATACATAACACACATAATGTGTTTTGGCTTTGTTATTGGTGAGGCTTCTGGTCAATAGTAGGCTGTTAGCAGTTAAGTTTTGGGGGAATCATAAGTCATATGCAAAATTTTCAGCTGTGCAGGGGTCAGGCCCCCTAGTCCTTTATTGTTCAAGAATCAACTGCACTTCTTTAAAATTTTTTTTTTTTTTTTTTTGAGACTGAGTTTCGCTCTGTCACCCAGGCTGGAGTGCAGTGGCACCATCTCGGCTCACTGCAAGCTCCACCTCCCGGATTCACGCCATTCTCCTGCCTCAACCTCCCGAGTAGCTGGGACTACAGGCGCACGCCACCTCGCCCGGCTAATTTTTTTTTGTATTTTTAGTAGAGACGGGGTTTCACCGTGTTAGCCAGGATGTCTTGATCTCCTGACCTCGTGATCAGCCCACCTCAGCCTCCCGAAGTGCTGGGATTACAGGCATGAGACACCGTGCCTGGCTAAATTTTTTTTAAGAGACAGAGTCTGGCTGGAGTGCTGTGGTGTGACCATGGCTCACTGCAGCCCCAACCTCCTGGACTCAAGCAATCCTCCTGCTTCAGCCTCCCAAGTAGCTAAGGGTTAAGTCTTGACTACCACATAAACTTGTTCACAAGCATTATCTCACGTAATTCTCAGAGAAATCCAGTTTCAGATAAGCAAACAGGTTCTGAGAGTTTAAGTAATTTATCCTAGTACTTTGCTACCATGCACATGGACCCTCATCTAGCACCACCTGAGCTTGTGAAAAATGAGGACATCTTGGGCTCCAACCCAGACCTGCATTTTTTTTTTCTGCTGTGGCGGCACTAATAGAGCATCAGATTTACATTTTATCAAGCAAGGTCTCTAGATACTTCCTATGCACACTAGTTAGGGTTTGAGACATTTGGCCCTACTCCATGTTATTCTAAGGGGTACAGCTGGGATAAAGGATGAGCCTGAGCCAAGTCTGAAAATGGTCACAGAGAAGCAACAGATGGATCAGAGAACCCATCAAGGGCAGCAAACAAATCTTTTTCTAAAAGAGCCCTGGGACAGCACTGAAGTTGGAGGAGAGAGGACAGCTCACTCAAGGGCCGTGTAATCTTGCTGAGGAGCCAGAAGGCAATGGACAGACACAGGAGCTCAAACTGGAAAATAGAAATTTCCATTTTTGAAGGGAAATGGAGAATCAGTAGGTTTTCAGCAGAGTTTTGTGGTGCAGCCACAGAAATTCTTCAAATTTACTAATCAAAACTAGGTATATAAAACTCACCCGAGTTTCCGATTTCAAACTAAGTTCACAAGGCTCTTCATCAGAAGTGCTTCAATAGTACCAAGAAGAATAAGAACCTACCTTTTGGTTAGTGTTTTAAACAGTTAAGCCTTCAGCCCTTATGACAGGTGGTTGCTGCAGGATTTAACTATGCTTTCTCTGGGCCTGCAGAAGATTATTCAAATAACTAGAAGTTTATTATTTAGGTTTCTCAAAAACCTATCTTGTTTCGCATGTAAACCTTTTGACTGTACATCTGGGTAGGTGGTTAGGCCATTTTCATCAAAAGTCAGTCATAAACTAAGTCCGTTTTGTCCTAAATTAGGAATGTATCCGCGGTACAAGTGGGTGATGCAAAAATGACAATGCTCTCCTGGGAACAAGATAACCAGCTTTATTATGTAATTTTGTCTAGGGATGGCTGCATGTATTTTATCAATATTTATTTCAAGCAAATTAAATTTGAAGCCTAGTAACATCTCTGAAAGTTTATGTCATTTCATTTTCTACAAATCAGTTGGGAGAGATAAAATTGACCATTATCTGTGATTTAGAAATGAGAAAACCAAAGAGGGGCTGTTGACTTGAAAAGCAAAGGTGGAACTCAAAAGCCATAGTCATTCTAGTTTCCACCCACCAACAGCATTTACTGAATTGGGCTTTAGTAAGATGCCTATGACATATACAAACTGGCAATACGTAACAGTGCTATAAAACTCATGACTCTCATGACTATAAGGTCTACCAGGCTTTAAACACTACCACTCAGAAATAAAGATTTCTCTTTGGCATTCTACTGTCCTACTTTTTTATACCTCATTCCCACTGGCACTTTCTTTTTTCTTATTTTTTTTTTCTCTATTCTCCATTCTTTATGATCACTTTGTACAACCTTTAAAAAAGTCACTTCAGGTTGACTACTTTAAAAACAAATCAGGGTATTAAGAATTATTTCGGTGTGCCTTTTACAATTGCAAACAATAAAGGTAGGGATACTATCTCCCACCCTTCTGAACAGATACTAAAATGTTTTGCTCACCTAATTTTAAAATTTGAACAAGAAACAATATTTAAATAAAGAGAGGTAGAAAGACAATAGGTGGAAAATAAAAAGTAGTCCAAAAAGGCAAAAGAAACACATTAGAGTAGGGTTCTTGAATTGGTCCACTTAGTCACTGCCTTCCAAAAGGTCAAATTTCAAAAAAACTCTCACTTTTCAGTTATAATTATCAAAACAATAATCATCACATGGCAAACTATAGAAGGAGCCAAAGATTCTCTACTCAAGATATAAAGAGATCACAAAATTGTCTTAAAATACAAAGAAAATTTTATTTGTATATCAAAGACTCTAAGAAATGATGACATAAGGTTAACAGAGTTGATGTCAAGACACAAATAGGTTTGAAGTTATAGATGATAAATCACTTTGTTTTACTGAACCTTCCCTTGGTTATGTTAGAGAGCATCCCTGGTATGCTCCCAGTTGAATCTTAAGCATGATGTGTCCAGGTGATACACTTGTAATTCCTTTCTGTTAATCCTCGTTATCTCTTTTTTTTTTCTTTTTCTTCTTTTTCTCTGGACTCTGAAAATAGCCAACAAGAATGCTTTGAAAGAGCTGTAATTGTATGGGTGACTAATCACTTTTCTTCATAAAATGCAAAATCAATCTGTTTCCCTTGAAAACAAATTCAGGGAAATGATTAAAATTGAAAATATAAAAACCCCACCTATAAAAGTAAGTTTCAGCAAATCATACTCTTCCTCTCAATGCAAACTCAATTTTTAGTAATAAATTCTAGATTTGGGAAATGGCCTTTTATAATGTAAATACAACAAAGCCATTTCACTTTTACCTCCCCATCAATGAAAACCATTTTTTAAAATGCCTGCTCATTTCTGATATAGAAAATAGATTGAAATGTGGAGAACTGGCCCCTCCAAGTGAACATCGATAATTAAAAACAAACATACAGCAATTGCTGTGCTGGTACATGGTTCTTCCTCAGAAAGTGGTTCTTCCTTAATGTGTTTCTTTTTACCCTTTTTCTTCTTCTTCTTCACAGATGTTTCTTCTTCTTCTGCCACTTTTTCTTCTTCCTCCTCTTCTTCAACTGAATAGAGTAAGTGTAAAGGCACAACAAATTAACACTATATCAGATCTCACTCTTTCCAAAAACGTTTGAGTCCTAGGTTTTTTTCTGTCATTCTCATCAACTACCCAATGTTTGTTTTGTTTATTTTATAATTGGGAAGGTTCTCCAAGGCCTACGACTAACTTTAACAAATGATACAGATGGAGCTCAGGCAATTTTCTCACGAGCATGAAATCATGTATAAAAATCAGGATTAAAACAACGGTCATCTGATCTCCAATCATTATTGGGAAGAGAGTCAATTATATTAGAAATGGTTAAGAGCTTGCACTCTGAAGTCAGAAGGCCTGGGTTTAGTCTACTCTCTACAACCCTGAAAAATTGTATTTACCCCTGGTAAAACTACATATCCTCATCTATAAAACTTAAGAATGTCTTATCTTACTAGATTGTTACCGAGACTTAAAAAGATGATGCATAGAAAGTACAAAGTATAATGCTTAGCACACATTACAATAAGGACTCAACACGTAGCTATCATTAGACATTCAGTGACCAGCTGGGTGCAGTGGCTCACACCTGTAATCTCAGCACTTTGGGAGGCTGAGGCGGGAGGATCACTTGAGGTCAGGAGATCAAGACCAGCCTGTCCAACGTGGTGAAATCCTGTCTCTAATAAAAATACAAAAAAAGTTAGCCGGGCCTGGTGGCACATGCCTGTAATCCTAGCTATTCAGGAGGATGAGGCAGGAGAATCACTTGAACCCAGGGGGCGGAGGTTGCAGTCAGCTGAGATCACGCCACTGCACTCCAGCCTGGGTGACAGAGCAAGACTCTGTCTTGTGGGGGGCAAAAAAAAAAGAGGGAGGAAATTGTGGGATGAAAAATTGACAGATAAATCGGAAAAGCTTATTGGATACACAATTGAGGATACAAAAGACAGAGTTTGGTGCCTCAAATGCTACTAATGGGTTTAGGGATCTCCTTACTTTTCAATAAAAAGAAGCATAAAAGTTAAATAAATTACTTCTCTATCAAGTATACTATCCACATTTGTAGAACATACACTTTTGACGACTAAGCTACTTAGAAACCAAGTTAAAGCAATCATTGTGTTAATGCTTTACTCTTTTGCTAGACTTGCTAGTAGGTGTTCAAGAAACCCAGGTTTAACTAATAATGGGGCCCCTGCTTATCAACTTCACAAGACAGCCTAGTTAACTGGTGAGCACCTACTGGATATTGTAACTATGACGGCAGGCTACCAGTATGTGTTCCTTCTAGTCCACTCCAGATAACAGAAACAATGAAGAAAATCACTGTACCATCAATTCCATATAACTATAAAACAAAAAATTTTCAACAACCAATTTAGAAAACACATTCCTTTTTTCTCTTAATTCTCAAAATAGTTCATGTAGTAGAAACTCAAGTTTTGGTACTCTTAGTAAAATACCTAATTTGACTAAACTTCTCACATTTCCTCTGTGAAGTCTGATAAATTTAACAATATCATAACTATTCCCAGAGAACATCATGGCATTATTAAAACACCATTAGCGTTCAACGAGCAGTTTTATAATAAAGTGCAATGGCATGTACTTGTAAGACTCACAAAATCCACAGTTCTAAAGAAATGAGTATAAGTTGTGTTAAAAAAAATTCAAACTAACCTTTAACTTTAATCTTGGCTTTTTTTGCTTTCTTTTCAGTAATCTCATCCTCTTTATCTACCTGTTCTATTTTGCGTTTTTTAGAACAGGTTGGAAGTGTGGAGTCACCAGAAGGATCGTACGTCTTCACTTCACTGAAAGACCCAAAAAGTTTTAGAAAATCTCTACAAGTATCTGTAATTGAAATAATTCTCAAGAGATAAAGAAAATGCCATTAGATAATACTTACATAAGCACACAATGTTGTTTCATTTTAGTGGCTTTGGGGTAGTTTATGAAGACTAATAGTTTCCAAAAGTTAAAGGTATTAATATTTTTCAAGTAGGTCAATCACATTCAAGAGAAGTGGTGAGCTAAATGAATTCTGATTTAGTAATCAATGTAGTTACTATGGTACAGGAAAACACTCAATCAGCATGGGGGAAATGAAAGAAAATGTCTTCACACCTAACTAGAAAGTGAAAAATGAACCAATCCAACTTTCAGAACACTGCGCAATTAAATGGAAAAAAAAAAAAAAAAAAAGCAAAACAAAAAATCTAAACCAAGCTTAGTATAGAAGTCTTCATCACAAGATCACAAGCAGAACAAGAAAGGATACAAATACATACACATGGAAAAGATTCCTTAGAACCCAACATTTGCTTTTGTTCTAATGTAAGCAGGAAGAAAATACTGAAATGAGTGCCTAAAATGTGAACTGATGCTTTAACTGCATATGTTTAAAGTAAAAAGCATTAATTGCACAGGAACATTAAAAAAATTGGTTCAAAACAAGTTAAAAAATGTTGTTTCTTAAGCAGATTTGTAAACTGCATGACTAATTTTTATAGGTTAAAGACATTTACAATTTAAGAAACAAAGACCCATGTTTGTTGTCAACTAGAGATAATAAGTTACAGACTGTAAATATTGCAGAATGTATGGCTATTGTAGAAAGCTTGGAAAATTCACAAAAAAGAAAATGTGAATGCCCACAGAAACACATTTGATTTCCTTCCAGAACACACTAATTATACTTAAATATGTATTTATAATTGCTAATGTTACTATATATTGCTCTCTTCATCCACTTATAGTGTAAGATTTCACTATTAAAATTCTTGAAGGAGGCCAGGCGCTGTGGCTCACACCTGTAATCCTAGCACTTTGGGAGGCCGAGGCAGGTGGATCATGAGGTCAGGAGATCGAGACCATCCCGGCCAACATGGTGTAATTCCGCCTCTACTAAAAATACAAAAATTAGCTGGATGTGGTGGTATATGCCTGTAATCCTAGCTACTTGGGAGGCTGAGGCAGGAGAATCTCTTGAACCGGGGAGTCAGAGGTTGCAGTGAGCCAGGATCACGCCACTGCACTCCAGCCTGGCAACAGAGAGGGACTCCATCTCAAAAAAATAAATAAATAAATAAAATTTAAAAACCAAATAAATAAATTCTTGAAGGTTTATGAGCCCTGAAAGTATAATTTATTGGGTAATGACTGGGAACATTTTGAAGAATCTTGATACATACTGTGAAATGGCTTCCTAGAATAGCTATACCACATTCTGCCTCCACCATGACAACCTCACCAGCATTGAGCATTACCTCAAATAATAAGCCAAATACCCCTCCACATACAAATCTTTTGTTAATCTGATAGTTAAGTTTGAATGCTTTATCGTGCCTCAGCCATTTTTAGACTTGTTTTCTGTCTTTATACTTTTTACAAAATAGTTTTCTGTAGGGACTAACTCTGAATGAACTTTTTTTTGAGACGGAGTTTTGCTCTTGTTGCCCAGCCTGGAGTGGAATGGCGCAATCTCAGCTCACTGCACCCCTCTGCCTCCCGGGTTTCAAGCGATTCTCCTGCCTCAGCCTCCGAAGTGGCTGGGATTACAGGCGCCCGCCAGCACGCCCAGATAATTTTTTGTATTTTTAGTGGAGACGGGGTTTTACCACGTTGGCTAGGCTGGTGTTGAACTCCTGACCTCAGGTGATCTGCCCGCCTCGGCCTCGCAAAGTGCTGGGATTACAGGCAGGAGCCACTATGCCCGGCTGAATGAGCTTTTTGATAAAGAACATATTATAGAGAAACTTTAGATTTAAAAATTTACTATCAATGTCTGGAAATGAATAAATACGTATATGAATGAAAAGTAGAAGTTAATGTGGAAAACTAAATGGCACGGAAAAAAATTAGGGGTGCACAACATGGTTAACTACAGTTAACAATGTGTTATATTCTTAAAAATTGCTAAGTAGATTTTAAGATGTCCTCACTACAAAAAAAAGTATGTAAGACAATGCATGTTAATGAGCTTGACTTAATCATTCCTCAATGTGCACATTTTCCAAAGTAACATGTACACAATAAACAATTTTTGTCAATTAAATAAATTTGAAAAACTATGGGCACATCAAAGTGAAATTTACAAAATCGCTGTCAATAATTAACATTTAAAAAAACTATTCACCCCATTGTCACTTAAATGTACTCACCTTTTGTGTTCATATTTTTCTGTTTTTGCTAATGCCTTTCCTGTTCCACTTATTTTTCTTATCTAAGACGAAAAGGAAAAATTACAAATACAATTCTAAGTCACTTTATAATACACTAAACAGTCTAGTGAATCAGTGGGCCAGCAAACAATTTCTGCTATTTTTTGTTATTTTGAATAGCATATCCTAATGGCAAATGCTATTGTATACATCAATTATTGGTAAATAATAGCAATTGTTAATAGTAGGCACAAAAAGAATACTTTAGACATACTAACAAGGATCATAAAACTGTTTAGCAGATAAAGTAACTTCATAAATTTACTCAATTTATTAACTTTTGACAGTTTAATACTTCTGGAATAAGCATGATGTGGTATTCTTACCCCTCTATCTTCCAAAGTTCTCAACCTGGCCTCTAATTTGGCTCTGTTCTCAACTCCCATTGCAGAACTTGAATCCTCACCAAAAGCATCATAACGGATAGCCAAAACAGTTTTCGCTGCCAGCATTCGAGAAATCTAATAGAAAAACATGAAGAACTATATTCCATGTTCAGATGTAAAATCCTCAATAACTGGCTCATGAGACAGTTCCAGCAAATTATCACATTTATTCCAGGATGTTATGAAACTATTATGAATCATACAATTCAAATCATCCATCGTATTTCAATCTTTGCCACAATCTAATGGCCATACATTACCACCAATTCTGTGGCTGAAAAGATTTTATAGCAGTTCCTGTCAAAAATTAGCTCAAACTGGATTTTGTAAAATTACTTTCTACCCACTGACATTAGTTCTGTGCCTTGAGGTCATTCACAACAAGTGCATCTTTTTCCCCATAACTTAAATATGTGTGGGTTCTGACTGGGCACAGTGGCTCAGCCTGTAACCCCAGCACTTTGGGAGGCCGAGGCGGGTGGATCACGAGGTCAGGAGATCGAGACCATCCTGGCCAACATGGTGAAAACCCGTCTCTACTAAAAACACAAAAAATTGGCTGGAAGTGGTGGCGGGCACCTGTAGTCCCAGCTACTCGGGAGGCTGAGGCAGGAAAATGGTGTGAACTCAGGAGGTGGAGGTTGCAGTGAGCCGAGATCGCACTACTGCACTCCAGCCTGGGCGACAGAAAGAGACTCCGTCTCAAAAAATAAATAAATAAATAAATAATAAAAAGTGTGGGTTCTTTTTCAACCTAATTAACATTTTATTTTATTGCACCCTTTATTTCCCTCCACCACTCTGCTCTAAATTTTATCAAATTTCAGTTTAGTTCTGTTAAACATCTTTCAAAAACATTGGAAGTACTTAACTTGTCTAAGCCTCAGTTTCATCATCTGTAAAACAGATACCTACATCTCATAAGGCTACTAAAGATTTAGGATGGGCACGGGTGCTCACACCTGTAATCTCAGCACTCTGGGAAGCCAAAGTGGGTGGATCACGAGGTCAGGAATTCGAGACCAGCCTGGCCAACATGGTGAAACCCGTCTCCACTAAAAATACAAAAATTAGCCAGGTGTGCACATGCCTATAGTCCCAGCTACTCAGGAGGCTGAGACAGGAGAATTGCTTGAACCCAGGAGGTGGAGGTTGTAGTGAGCCGAGATCAAGCCACTTGCACTCCAGCCTGGCAACAGAGCAGGACGCCGTCTCAAAAAAAAAAAAAAAAAAAAAAAGGTTTAGTGAATTCTGTCAAAGTGTTTTAGCATAATGCATATACTATTGTTTATGATTCATAAATGTTAGATTTTTTTTTCCTGCCAGAGATAATATTTTCAGTGTGCCAACCACAGGGAGATCCTAGGGGAAAAAAAAATACTAACACGATGAAGAAACTGGCTTTAAATCAACAAATAACAATTTCTTCTAACTTTATCCTTCAGTGTACACAAAGTGCTTTTTATTTAAATAACTCACCATTCTCTAACGAGAAAGAGACAATAGAAAGATTTAATGTGTACTACAGAAGAAAAAAGGGTTGTAAAAAATGAAGAAGTCCAACCTCAAAAACAAAACAAAACCCTGTAACACACCTTTCCTTTGTGTTTGGGACTTGTCTGGCCTACGAGTGAAGCATGATAAATGAGACCGTACTTAGGGGTATCCCGTCTAGATTTGAGGGCTCTGAAGAGTGCCTTTTCTGCTCCAAGAATCTGAACGGTAGAAGCTGCATGCTTGGCCAAATTCAAAAGAGAACCTATAAAAGAAAAAAGTTACAAAGAATGCACCTTCAAATATATGAATGTTCCATGTACTAAAACAAAAGACCTATACAATATTATAGCCACCACAATAAATAAAAATCACATATAATATAGAATTCTATAATCCAGAATTCCCTAAAAACCTTGATGTTTCATTTGTAATTCCTTCATTAGCACAAGCAGGTTTGCAATGAATGCCTAGGACAAACTGAAGGTTAAGCTTATTAAGTCCAATGTCTCTATTCACCTGAGAGATGGTAGTACCATTCTATATTTCATTAGTGTACTACAGGAGTGACATAAATGTCACACACAGGAACACTAGGTTTTAAGTCTCTTGCCACCCCACTCAGCTCCCCCGCCATCCCTATCTACCCATTAGTCACTTTTGTAGCCCTCTCCGTGGTGCAGTAGTACTGCAGTGCTTATATTCAAGTAAACAATGCACAAAAATAGTTATGCTGGCATTTTTTTTTTTTTGAGATGGAGTTTTGCTGTCGCACAGGCTGGAGTGCAGTGGCACGACCCTGGTTCACTGTATCCTCTGCCTCTCAGGTTTAAGCAATTATCTGCCTCGCCCTCCTGAGTAGCTGGGATTACAGGCGCCCACCACCACGCCCAGCTAATTTTTTTCGTATTTTTAGTAGAGACAGGGTTTCACCATCTTGGCCAGGCTGATCTTGAACTCCTGACCTTGTGAGCCACCCTACTCGGCCTTCCAGAGTGCTGGGATTACAGGTGTGACCCACTGCCCCTGGCTGCTGGAATATTGTTGTAACTGTTCTATTATTACTGTTGTTCATATCCCACTGTACCTAATTTATAAATTAAGCTTTATTGTAGATATGTATGTTTAGGAAAAAACAGTATATACAGTATAGGGTTCAGTACTATCCTCTGTTTCAAACATCCTTGGGAGAGCTTAGAATATATCCCCATAAATAGCTGGGGACTATTGTTATCAACATGCTGCTTAGTTGGATATGCTGAATAGAATATTTATTGTCAGAAAACAGACTCAATATTAATGCTATGAATTTAAGCACTAGACATAGTTTAAAAAGTGTAATAAATACATAGTTCCTTTTTTTTGAGATGGAGTTTCGCTCTTGTCGCCCAGGCTGGAGTGCAATGTCACAATCTCGGTTCACTGCAACCTCTACCTGCTGGGTTCAAGCGATTCTCCTGCCTCAGCCTCCCAAGTAGCTGGGATTACAGGCTCACGCCACCAAGGCCAGCTAATTTTTGTGTTATTAGTAGAGATGGAATTTTACGATGTTGGCCAGGATGGTCTCGAACTCCTGACCTCAGGTGATTCACCCACCTCAGCCTCTCAAAGTGTTGGGATTATAGGTGTAAGCCACCACGCCTGGCCAACAAACACATACTTCTATTAACCCCTGCCATTGCTTACTGCTACAAGTTTAGCTGTACCTATGAAAATGGGTGGAGGCAATGAAATCATCTGATCTTATAGCTGAGGGCACTTGAATGAAATCTTTGATTAATGATGCAGCTAAAGGATATGCCAGGTCAGGCGCAGTGGCTCATGCCTGTAATCCCAACACTTTGGGAGGCCGAGGTGGGCAGATCACCTGAGGTCAGGTGTTTGAGACCAGCCTGGCCAACATGGCAAAAACCCTGTCTCAACTAAAAATGTAACAATTAGCCAGGCATGGTGGCAGCGCACGCCTGTAATTCCAGCAACTTAGGAGGCTGAGGCAGGACAATTGCTTGAACCCGGGAAGCGGAGGTTGCAGTGAGCCACTGCACTCCAGCCAGTGTAACAGACTGAAACTCCGTCTCAAACCAACAAACAAAAAAGGAGTTATGCTGTTTTAAACACTCTGATGCAGATGATATGGGATCTTTTTTGATGGATTATAACAATGTCTCCAAGTAACATAAAAATGATGAATCAGCACTTCATTGTATTTGTAGGTATTCAATTACATAGCATTTTAATTATAGCATATCATCCTTATAATACTGCCATACACATATACAAAGTTTTATTATAAATCAGTTGTTGAAAATATTTTTCAAAGTCAAACATATTACATCTGCACACTCAATAGTGAAACTAAGATAATCAATCGAGGGCATAAATCCTCTACAGTGATTTCTTAAAACTGTATTTAAATCTAGGTCTAGTGAGTTTTTATTATGAAAATGTTAACTGTTTTATCCTTCTGCATGCATCTGATTATTCTAATTAACCATAACAAACTTCTAACAATGGACTACAAGTGTCTCAGAAGAGGTAGTGACTAAAGATGCCTTCATTATCCAAAAGGAAATCAGGCAAACAAATAGAAATCATCATTGAACACCTGGCCCTTAGTGATCTCCTACATACCATCTACTTTTGTGTTATTAGCTAAAATTTCTTTAATAGCTGTGGTTTAAAGATGTAAACAAAATCCTAACCAGAAAATACTTCAAACACTCATATTTACAAACTACATTAAAACCATCACCTGCATGAGCAATAAGCCGTGCTCCAACTAATTCCCCAACCATGACTGTAACATTGGGTGCAATGGCCATCATTCGATTTTGCAGATATTCATAGAGCTGGGTTCGATATTCAGAGATTTCAATCACCTAGTATAAGGAATAAAGTGAGTCACAAATATCATGAGTAAAAACAGTATAAAATTCCTGTCTAAAACACTGGAGCCCTCAATCATGAAAGAGCAGCTACACAACCCTGGGTACATCAACTATGCCTAACATCAGTTTTCTTTTTGTTTTTTGAGACAGAGTCTTGCTCTGTCACCAGGCTGGAGTGCAGTGGTGCAATCTCGTGACGTCGTGATCCTAATATCAGTTTTCTATAAAATGGCTGTAGTGAGGACTTTCTTATGTAATGTATGTAAACCACCTAGTCCACTGCCTGAAAATGTAACTGTACTTTTAGAAGATTCTAGGCCAGGCACGGTGGCTCATGCCTGTAATCCCAGCACTTTGGGAGGCCGAGGCGAGCGGATCACGAGGTTAGGAGATTGAGACCATCCTGGCTAACACGGTGAAACCCCGTCTCTACTAAAAAATCAAAAAAACAAAAACAAAAACAAAACAAACAAAAAAAATCTAGCCAGGCCTGGTGACAGGCGCCTGTAGTCCCAGCTACTCGGGAGGCTGAGGCAAGAGACTGGCATGAACCCGGGAGGCGGAGCTTGCAGTGAGCTGAGATCGTGCCACTGCACTCCAGCCTGGGAGACAGGCGAGACTCTGTCTCAAAAAAAAAAAAAAAAAAAATTTAAGCGCTAAGCAGCTCCTAGGCCCAATGGCTCTCGCCTGTAGTTCCAGCACTTTGGGAGGTCGAGGCAGGTGGATCACAAGGTCAGGAGTTCAAGACCAGCCTGGCCAACATGTGAAACCCCATCTCTACTAAAAATAAAAAAATTAGCTGGGCATGGTGGCACGTGCCTGTAATCCCAGCTACTCGGGAGACTGAGGCAGGAGAATCGCTTAAACTGGGACCTGGGAGGTAGAGGTAGCAATGAGCCTGAGAATGTGCCACTGCACTCCAGCCTGGGCTATAGAGCGAGACTCTGTCTCCCAAAAAAAAAAAAGTTTCTAAGCAATAAACATTTGTGTCATGCTCTCTTTAATTCCCATATGACTATCTTCAAATCTGAAAGAAAAAAAAAAAAAAATCACAAGATATAGACATAAAACTCAGAATTAAAAAGCTCAATCCATAATTCTCTGCCATCTTTTTTGTTTTTTTTTTGAGATGGAGTTTTGCTCTTTTTGCCCAGGTTGGATGCAATGGTGCCATCTCGGCTCACTGCAACCTCTACCTCCCTAGTTCAAGCGATTCTGTCTCAGCCTCCTGAGTAGCTGGGATTACAGGTGCATGCCACCACGCACAGCTAATTTTTGTATTTTTAGCAGAGATGGGGTTTCATTATATTGGTCAGGCTGGTCTCAAACTCCTGACCTCAGGTGATTCACTTTGGCCTCCCAAAGTGCAGGGATTACAGGCGTGAGCCAACACGCCCAGCGTCTTCTCTGCTGTCTTAATTGATTTTTGGTTAATTCATTATTCAGACGATGATTGTAAATTACTTCCTTTTAATATGTATTTCCCCCTTTTAAGTATACAAATCATGATGGCATCAGATGAGGTAGTGACTGAACACCCTCATATTTATGTTATCAGGTGAACAACAGTAAGTGTAAATCATCATTGCCATCAGAAAAATTAGCATTATAGAGCTGGTAACACCACAACTAGATTCTCCAGAAGTAAAATTTACCTGGGTGCAAAGATGCAGAATATTGCAAATATCTTCTTCTGAAACCTCTGTTCCCATTGATATCTCTGCAGCTGCTTTCACTTCTGCTTCAACTTCTTCCGGCAGCAACTCAGAAAGTTTGGCAGAGGCATAGTTCTTCCTATCGCCTATGGAATGTTTGCAGAGGATGAGGGAGAATCACTCTTCAACAAATTATATAAAATCCAGCAAACAGTCAAAAGAAAAAGTAGAAAGCCAATGAAAAGGATGCCTAAACAAAACAAAAAAATGAAGAAGTTTGACCTAGTATAATAGTTTTCCTCATTTAAGGGTTTAAGTTTAGACATGAAATGTCTCCCCAACACCTTCCTCCAAAAAATAATCAGAGTAAAAACAAGACAAAATATGCCACAAAACTTATTACAGAAAATAAGTAGCAAAAATTTAAAAAGACAGGACTAATAATAATGTCACAGACAATTTTATACTAAAGCTGGGGCCAGTAATTTGCAAGTCAAGTAAACCATGAATCAATCAAGTTCCTTTGCACATTAACAAAAATCAACAATCAAGTTCCTCTGTATATTAACAGTAGAGACAGCAATCCTGTCTGTAACACTAAATACAGCTATTTAGTATTAAGTACTAATGTCATGTCACAGGCCATCAAAATCTAAGTTAAAATTCATTTTGTTTCTTAAATTTAAGACACTAAATTGCTACATTTCCCAAATACATAGAAATTGCAAAAACCCTGGGAATCTTGCTTAACAAAATGCTATACGTTACGTTTTAGGATGCAATCAAATTCATTTACTTTCAATGCCTTAAAGGATGAACAAATTACTCACCAACTTTCTGTAAACACTTGCAGTATGTCAAATTATCTGAAATAATTTTTCCTAATTCAGGGAAATGCCAGCCGTACCATTCTCTACATCGCATAATGTAGTTGTTTAGTTCTTTATCCAAGTCATCTAACAAAGCTGTAGTAGATTAAAAACAAACAAAAACAAAAACAAAAGAAAACCAGGAACTTAAAGGGATTTATTGTGGTAAAATATACACAATATAAAATTTAACACTTCAGGCCGGGTGCAGTGGCTCATGTCTGTAATCCCAGCACTTTGGAAGGCCGAGACAGGCAGATCATGAGGTCAGAAGTTTGAGACCTGCCTGGCCAACATGGTGAAACTCCGTCTCTACTAACAATACAAAAATTAGCCAGGCATGGTGGCTCATGTCTGTAACCCCAGGTACTCTAGAGGGCTGAGGCAGAAGAATCACTTGAACCCAGAAGGTGGAGGCTGCAGTGAGCCGAGATCATGCCACTGCATTCCAGCCTGGGTGACAGAGCAAGACTGTGTCATAAAAAATAAAAAAACAATAATAACACTTCAACCATTTTCAAGTGTACCATTCAGTAGCATTAAGTACATTTATGATGTTATGCAACCATTACCACTATCTATTTCCAGAGCAATTTTATCATCAGAAACTGAAAAATTCTGTACCCATTAAATAGTAACTCATTCCCACCTTCTCCCCAACCTCTAGTTATCTCTATACTTCGGTCTCTGAGTTCACCTATTTTAGGTACTTCATATAAGCAGAATCATGCAGTACTTTGTGACTATTTCACTTAGCGTAAGAAATGAAATGTGTGTCAGAATTTCATTTCTTTTTAAGGCTGGCTGACATTCCACTGTGTGTAGAGGCTGGGTGTACGTTATCCAAATTGCTTGGGACCAGAGGTATTTCAGAGTATTTGCAAACACATGTGAGGTTATTTTGAGGATGGGACTCTTTTGAGATGGAGTCTCGCTCTGTCGCCCAGGCTGGAGTGCAGTGGTGCAGTCTCGGCTCACTGCAAGCTCTGCCTCCCGGGTTCATGCCATTTTCCTGCCTCAGCCTCCCAAGTAGCTGGGACTACAGGCGCCCGCCATCACGCCTGGCTAATTTCTTGTATTTTTAGCAGAGACGGGGTATCACCGTGTTAGCCAGGATGGTCTCGATCTCCTGACCTTGTGATCCGCCCGCCTCGGCCTCCCAAAGTGCTGGGATTACAGGCATGAGCCACTGCGCCTGGCCGTTTTACGTAATATTTTAAAGAATTTTGTGCATAAAACAAAGTTTTGACTGTGGCCTATCACATGTGGTCAGGTGTAGAGTTTTCCACTTGTGGATTCGTGTGGTAGCACAAAAAGGTTTAGATTTTAGAGCATTTTGAATTTCAGATTAGAGACATTCAAGCTGCATCCACAAGGCAGTTTATCCATTCATCTGTTAAAAGGTATCTGGGTTGTTTCCACTGTTTGGTTTTGTAAATAACTGTTATGAACATTGGTGTGCAAGGAACTCTGAGTTCTTGTTTTTAATTCTTTGGGGTATAAATCTAGGAAAGGACTTGCTGCTTGAACACATTTCTTTTTTTCTCTTTTTGGAGATAGAGTCTAACTCCATCACCCAGGATGGAGTGCAGTGGCGCAATCTCAGCTCACTGCAACCTCTGCTTTCTGGGTTCAAGTGATTCTCCTTCCTCAGCCTCTTAAGTGGCTGGGACTATAGGCGCACACCACCTCAACTGGCTACTATTTTGCATTTTTAGTGAAGACAGGGTTTCGCCATGTTAGCCAGGCTGCTCTTGAACTCCTGAGTGCAGGCAGTTCACCTGCCTTGGCCTCCCAAAGTGCTAGGATTACAGGTGTGAGCCACTGCGCCCAGCCGAATACTTTTTTGTTTTTTTGAGACGGAGTGCTGCTCATGGTGTCCAGGCTAGAGTGAAATTGTGTGATCTCAGCCGACTGCAACTGCCAACTCTCGGGTTCAAGTGATTCTCCTCCCTCAGCCTCCTGAGTAGCTGGAATTACAGGTGCCTACCATCATGCTCAGCTAATTTTTGTATTTTTTTACTAAAGATTGAGTTTCACCATGTTGGCCAGGTCTCAAACTCCCGACCTCAGGTGATCCACCAGCCTTGGCCTCCCAAAGTGTTGCGATTATAGGCGTGAGCCAAGGCCAAATGCATTTCTAAAATAGAAATATGATTAAGATTTTGAGTTTTGTGGGGTTTTTTGTGAGATGGAGATTTGCTCTTGTTGCCCAGGCTGGAGTGCAATGGCGCTGTCTCGACTCACTACAACCTCTGCCTCCAGGGTTCAAGTGATTCTCCTGCCTCAGTCTCCCAAATAGCTGGGACTACAGGCATGCACCACCAAGTCTGGTTAATTTTGTACTTTTAGTAAAGACGGGACTTCTCCATGTTGGTCAGGCTGGTCTCGAACTCCCGACCTCAGGTGATCCTCCCGCCTCAGCCTCCCAAAGTGCTGGGATTACAGGCATGAGCCACTGTGCCTGGCAGCTTTTCAGCTTTCTAAAAATCATTTAATGACACAGCAGAACATACAACTACAAAGATTCCACTTATGTTTTTAACATTTTCATGGAAAAACAGAAATGAATTAATTAATGTAATGTTAACTCTGTGATTCATATAATCTCCAAATAGTCAACCTCTGCCTCCTGGGTTCAAGCGATTATCCTGCCTCAGCCTCCTGAGTAGCTGGGATTACAGGTGCACACCACCATGCACATTTAATTTTTTTGTATTTTTAGTAGAGACAGGGTTTTGCCATGTCGGGCAGACTGGTCTTGAACTCCTGACTTCAGGTGATTTGCCCACGTCGGCTTTCCAAAGTGCTGGGATTAAAGGCGTGAGCCACCACACCTGGCCTCCTTTCTCTTTCTCAACAGATAGAATCATAAAAGATACAGTTTCAACAGTATGAAAACGCATGAAGGACAGAGCAACAAATCAGACTTTGCATGTACTATACTTACAAATTGCCTGAACAATCATTGTGTCTACTTTATCAGCGCTAAATTTCAATCTATATCGAGACAGGCTGGGAAAAAAGGGGAAAATAAATTAGTAAGATAGCATCTAGGGAAAGCATTTAAATTAACACCTTAAAGTTTTGTTTTGTTTTTTTTAACTCAAATCAGCCTGTAGTCAGAGCTATAATTGGTTTTTCTAAGAAGAAAAATCAGCTAAGTAGAAATGCACCATGCAAGATCAGAAAATACACACTAAAAAAACCACAAAAAACTATGTATACTGCTACCACCTGTATTTCTGTAACATGAATGAGTTTATGTATGAGTGACAAATCGAATAAGCTGTGTAATACAAAAGTCATATTGGACTGGACATGGTGGCTCACGCCTGTAATCCCAGCACTTTGGGAGGCCAAGGTGGGCAGACCACCTGTTAGCAGTTCGAGACCAACCTGGCCAACATGGCGAAACCATGTCTCTACTAAAAATACAAAAATTAGCCAGGTATGATGGGGCATGCCTGAATCTCAGCTACTGTGGAGGCTGAGGCAGGAGAATCGCTTGAACCGGGGAGGCAGAGGTGGCAGTGAGCTGAGATTGCGTGCTACTGTACTCCAGCCTGGGCAACATAGCCAAGACTCCGTCTCAAAAACAAGCCATATTGGTTCATGCAATCTTTTATAGCACGTATTAAGCTTTATACTACCAGTTAAGAACTTTGCTGGGCACGGTGGCTCACACCTATAATCCCAGCACTTTGGAAGGCAGAGGCGGGTGGATCACGAGCTCAGGAGATTGAGACCATCCTGGCTAACACGGTGAAACCCCATCTCTACTAAAAATACAAAAAAATTAGCCGGGCATGGTGGCGAGCGCCTGTAGTCCCAGCTACTTGGGAAACTAAGGCAGGAGAATGGCGTGAACCCGGGAGGAGGAGTTTGCAGTGAGCCGAGATTGCACCACTGCACTCCAGCCTGGGCAACAAGGGAGACTCCGTCTCAAAAAAAAAAAAAAAAAGAATTTTGCAGCACTCTTAACATCTGAAAACAGGCCGGGCGCGGTGGCTCAAGCCTGTAATCCCAGCACTTTGGGAGGCCGAGGCGGGCGGATCACAAGGTCAGGAGATTGAGACCACAGTGAAACCCCGTCTCTACTAAAAATACAAAAAATTAGCCGGGCGCGGTGGCGGGCGCCTGTAGTCCCAGCTACTCAGGAGGCTGAGGCAGGAGAATGGCGTGAACCCGGGAGGCGGAGCTTGCAGTGAGCCGAGATCGCGCCACTGCACTCCAGCCTGGGCAACAGCGTGAGACTCCGTCTCAAAAAAAAAAAAAAAAAAAAAAAAAAATCTGGAAACAGAAAGCTGTGGAGTAACAATATTGTTTGTATATAAATGTTTTTCATCTCAGCACAATTAACATTTTGGGCCTAATTCCTTGTTGTAGGGGCTGCTGTGTGCATTATAGGACCTTTAGCAGTATCCCTAACTTTTATCCACTAGATGTTCGTGGCAGACCCCACCCCACCTCCAATTTTGACAACCAAAAATGTCTATGGACATTGGCAAACGCCCACTGAGGGGACATCTGATTGCCCTCGATAGAGAACCACTGCTATACACAATGCAGATTTACCCAAGTTTGGATTTGTGACTCAGTTTCACCATTTGTTCTCTCTTAGAAATGCTTATTACAAAGCTCTCCCTGACCTTTGTGCATTTTCGCTCTTAACTCTAACTCAGCAGCTTCAACCCTTTCAATCTATGCCCACCTTTTAATTTTTAAATAGACCTTTTTTTCTTTTTTTTTAAATAGACCTTTTTTAATTGTATTTTTTTTTTTTAAAGATGGAGTCTTGCTCTGTCACCCAGGCTGGAGTGCAGTGGCGCGATCTTGGCTCACCGCAAGCTCCACCTCCTGGGTTCATGCCATTCTCCTGCCTTGGCCTCCTGAGTAGCTGGGACTATAGGCACCCGCCACCGCGCCGTTAATTATTCATATTTTTAGTAGAGACGGGGTTTCACCATGGTCTCGATCTCCTAACCTCGTGATCTGCCCACCTCGGCCTCCCAAAGTGCTGGGATTACAGGTGTGAGCCACTGCACCCGGCCTGCAGTATTTCTTTAATATGAACTTAAGATGTCTTTTGAACTGTGGTAATAATTTTATTAGGATTACTATTTGATAGTACTGATTACAAAATTGCATAGGTTTTGAGCAACTACCTTCCATTACTTTCTTCACAACCCTGTTAACTGTAGTGCAATTCCAGAGTATTATGCTTTTCATGAACAGATATATCACAACATAGCAATAATGCCTATTCTAAGGGACTTCTAATTAAATATGATAGGGTTAAGATGCAATTAAAAATAGGGACATGGCTGGGCATGGTGGCTCACACCTGTAGCAGCGGCACTTTGGGAGGCTGAGGCAGGTGGATCACTTGAGCCTAGCAGTTCCAGCCTGGGCAGCACGGCAAAACCCCGTCTCTACAAAAAGTTAAAAAACCAGCGACGGATGGTGGCACGCACCTGTAGTCCCAGCTACTTGGGAGGCTGAGGTGGCACTGTTTGATCCCAGGATATCAAGGCTGCAGCTGCCTTGGCAAGTTCGCACCGCTGCACCCTAGCCTGAACAACACAGTGAGACCCTGTCTCCAAAAAAAAAAGAGCCCAGTCGTGGTGGCTGAAGCCTATAATCCCAGTGCTTTGGAGGTTGAGGCGGGTGGATCATTTGAGGTCAGGAGTTCAAGATCAGCCAGGCCAACAAGGTGAAAGCCCGTCTCTACTAAAAATACAAAAATTAGCTGGGCGGTAGTGTTGCACGCTTGTAATCCTAGCTACTCGGAAGCTGAGGCAAGAAAATCACTTGAGCAGGCCGGGCGCGGTGGCTCAAGCCTGTAATCCCAGCACTTTGGGAGGCCGAGACGGGCGGATCACGAGGTCAGGAGATCAAGACCATCCTGGCTAACACGGTGAAACCCCGTCTCTACTAAAAATACCAAAAATTAGCCGGGCGTGGTGGTGGGCGCCTGTAGTCCCAGCTACTCGGAGGCTGAGGCGGGAGAAAGGCGTGAACCCGGGAGGCGGAGCTTGCAGTGAGCCGAGATCGCGCCACTGCACTCCAGCCTGGGAGACAGAGCGAGACTCCGTCTCAAAAAAAAAAAAAAAAAAAAAGAAAATCACTTGAGCCTGGGAGGCAGGGGCTGCAGTAAGCTGAGATCACGCCACTACACTCCAATCTGGGTGACAGAATAAGACTCTGTCTCAAACAAAACAAAACAAAACAAAAAGAGACACATGAGGTCTTACTATGTTGTCCCAGGCTAGTCTCAAACTCCTGGTCTCCCAGAGTTGGGATTACAGGGGTGAGCCACTGCACCTAGTCCTCTTTGCCTCATTAAATATCAGAGTAAAACAATCAAAACACAATACACACCTACCCCATAAGACCAGCAGATGACAGAATTTGGGGAAATATTAAGTAGATGGAGGAGTGGCATGACTTAGCAGAGATAAAAGAAGGAAAGCCCAAGAAATAGGGGATCCAAGATCAGAGGAGTAGAGAATTCCTTTGATGAGGTTTTGAGGTTTTAAGAATCCAGACAATGGAGCCAGACTGCCTGGGTTCAAACCCTGGCTTTACCACTTACTAGCTGTACTGACCTTGGGCATCAGTTTCATCTATAAATGAGGATATTACTATAATCGTCTTCATAAGGTTCTGATGAGGTTCAAATGAACATTTGTAATATTCTTAGAACAATGCTATGTTAAGTGCTTATCAAATAATAGTAAGTTGACTTTATTTTCCAGTAATTCTCACCTGTGAGCCAATCCAAGACACATAGCTGCCATTTCACGTGGTTCTACCCCAGGGATTAATCCATCCATTTGTGAACGAATTCCTCTCATAAGTTCATTAACAACAGGACTATGGATACAACTGAGATTCAGCTTTTCCTACGAGAACAAGAACATCTATATTAAATAAAGAAAAAGAAGACTTACCTGTAGTTATTATTATTATTTTTTGAGACAGTGTATCGCTCTGTCACCCAGGCTGGAGTGCAGTGGCACAATCTTGGCTCACCACAACCTCCACCTTCTGGGTTCAAGTGATTCTGCTATGTCAGCTTCCCGAGTAGCTGGGATTATTACAAGAAGGAACCACCATGCCCAGCTAATTTTGTATTTTTAGTAGAGACGGGGTTTCACCATGTTGGCCAGGCTGGTCCTGACCTCAAGTGATCCGCCTGCTTCAGCTTCCCAAAGTGCTGGGATTACAGTAATGAGCCACCGTGCCCAGCCTGAAATTATTTCTTAAATATTAAAGTGGCACTGACTTAAATATATGCATTTCTCAGCTGGACAAGAAGTATAATTTCTAGTGTGTTTGTAGATTACTTGAGTGTATCATTGGTGGAAGTTAAAACTGATACAAGCTTCCAGAAGGCAGCTTGGTTATGTAAGATAAAAGCTATAAAAAGATTAATATAATTTGACCAAGTAGTTGGTTTAAGGGGATCTTTTACTACCTGTTACTTAACTTTCTTTTTAAATTACAGGTTATGCTGGGCGCAGTGGCTCACGCCTGTAATCCCAGCACTTTGGGAGGCCGAGGTAGGCGGATCACAAGGTCAACAGATCAAGACCATCTTTGGGCCGGGCGCGGTGGCTCAAGCCTGTAATCCCAGCACTTTGGGAGGCTGAGGCGGGCGGATCACAAGGTCAGGAGATCGAGACCACAGTGAAACCCCGTCTCTACTAAAAATACAAAAAATTAGCCGGGCGCGGTGGCGGGCGCCTGTAGTCCCAGCTACTCAGGAGGCTGAGGCAGGAGAATGGCGGGAACCCGGGAGGCGGAGCTTGCAGTGAGCCGAGATCGCGCCACTGCACTCCAGCCTGGGCAACAGCGTGAGACTCCGTCTCAAAAAAAAAAAAAAAAAAAAAAAGACCATCTTGGCCAACATGGTGAAACCCTGTCTCTACTAAAAATACAAAAATTAGCCGGGCATGGTGGCAGGTGCCTATAGTCCCAGCTACTTGGGAGGCTGAGGCAGGAGAATCTCTTGAACCCAGGAGGCGGAGGTTGCAGTGAGCCAAGATTGTGCCACTGCACTTCAGCCTGGCAAAAGAGTGAGACTCTGCCTTAAAAAAAAAAAATTACAGGTTGGACATGGTGGCTCATACCTGTAATCCTAGCAATTTGGGAGGCCAGGGCATAGTGGCGGGTATCTGTAATCCCAGCTACTGGGAAGGCTAAGGCAGGGGAATCCCCTGAACCCAGGAGGCAGAGGTTGCAGTGAGCTGAGATTGTGCCACTGCATTCCAGCTAGGGCGACAGAGCGAGACTCTGTCTCAAATAAATAAAATAATAAAATAAAACAATTAGCTGGCATGGTGGCACGTGCCTGTAGTCCCAGCTACTGAAGAGGGAGGATTGCTTGAGAACGGGATGTCAAGTCTGCGGTGAGCTGTGAGACTGTGCCACTGCCTGAGCTCCGGCCCTGACTTTCGAACTGTTCTTTTTCTTTTTCTTTTTTTTTTTTTTGAGATGGAGTCTTGCTGTTGCCCAGGCTGGAGTGCAGCAGCGTGATCTCGGCTGACTGCAAGCTCTGCCTCCTGGGTTCATGCCATTCTCCTGCCTCAGCCTCCCAAGTAGCTGGGACTACAGGCGCCTGCCACCATGTCCAGCTACTTTTTTGTATTTTTAGTAGAGATGGGGTTTCACCGTGTTAGCCAGGATGGTCTCGATCTCCTAATTTCGTGATCCTCCTACCTCGGCCTCCCAAAGTGCTGGGATTACAGGTGTGAGCCAATGCAACCGGCCCAAATTGTTCTGCTTTCTGCATTTGGGAGGCTATTTTCCTAGTCTTTCTATCCACTCTCACATTTTATTTCATCTTCAGCAATACACCCCTACTAAAGTTTTCTAATAAACACATTTCTAAAAAATATAAGGACCCCATTTTTGTTGAAAAAAGAAAAATGTGGCTAGACAAAAATATAGCATAATATACATAGAATGTTAACATTATATATAGGTAGCAGATTTGTTAAAGACAATTTTTATCATTTTTTGTTTTTCTATATCTTCTACAACAAATAGGAATTGCTTATTTGCTTGGTTCAGCAGATGTTAGGGGAAATCCATTATCATGCAGCTTAGAGAAAAGAGAGAAAAAAGTATTAAGAACTTATGATAAGCAACTTATTACAAAGGCTAGGCTTTGTAGTTGGTATGCTGTGAGATCTGACTAGCAGGCATGACCAAAAAAATCATGACTTTACCTTTATGACCCCTCCTAGTTTAGCATCAGCTACTGCCAGCGGTTCATGGGCTTCTTTTACTATTTTCTTCAGAACTTTCTTCAGCTGCTTATTGATTTTGCCCTCCATCAGAGCTGTGAATGCTTTTCAGGAAAAAGAAAAACAAAAGCATTAACTCTCAAATTTTTAACTTTGAGACCTTGTCCTATTTGACATTTAAAAAAAAAAATAGACCTTTCAAAGGGCTTGAATTTAATGTTACTTCTGAAATGAAACGATATATGTTTTATAAGTTACAAATTTCACAATTTCATTTGATCTTCCCACCCTCATTTTTGCTACAGAGTCAGGGGTAAAATCAGGTACAGAGTTTCTTCCCTCTCACAAGAATCTTCTCATGAACTCAAGAGAGAATCATGAAATCTTAGAAACAATCTTTTTGGGAAGACAAAATAGATTCACTTTCCTTTGTCATTTCAAATAGACCGTCCTGAAATACCCTAAAATCACATCAAAACTAGTAAAAATGAGTGTAATCATTTTCAAAATTCTGCCACAACATAAGCGTGTTTGAGTGAAAGCCTTACCTTTGCTGTACCTCTGCTTGTACACCTCCAGCAATGTAAAACTTTGTAGCAAAGGCTACCTATTCTATTTTGAGACCACTGGTATTTCTGGGAAGTTCTAAATCAGCTACTTTATAATACTCATCCTTCCTTAGACCTTTATTCCCATTTTCTGGACCCACATGAACTAATACCTCTTCGGATATTTATTTGACATTTGACTGACGTAAAAGTATGCTTGGGTTACCCAGGCATGGTAGCATGTACCACCAGCCTGGCCAACATGACGAAACCCTCTCTTTACTAAAAATACAAAAATTAGCTGGCCCTGGTGGCTCATGCCTGTAATCCTAGTTATTTGGGAGGCTGAGGTAGAAGAATCACTTGAACCCAGGAGGTGGAGGTTGCAGTGATATCGTGACATTGCACTCCAGCCTGGGAGACAAGAGCAAAACTCCATCTCAAAAAAAGAAAAAAAAAAAGAAAAATGCTTGGAAGGAAGGAAGGAAGTCAACAATTTCCAAGGTAAGGCAGTTTGCACTTAATGAGTAAGGTCTTGCTCTTCCCTCCAGATTGTATATCCATTTGAATTATGATCAAATGGATAATCCCAGCACTTTGGGAGGCTAAGGTGAGCAGATCACGACGTCAGGAGATGAGACCATCCTAGGCAACATGGTGAAACCCCGTCTCTACTACTAAAAATACAAAAATTAGGTGGGCATGGTGGCATTCACCTGTAATCCCAGCTACACGGGAGGCAGAGATTGCAGTGAGCTGGGATTGCGCCACTGCACTCCAGCCGAGGATCAGTCTCAAAAAAAAAAAAAGACCTGCAAGTTGAAAACACAATCAAGAATAAAAATAAACCATTTCATGTAAATAGCATATATGAATGTCTGAAACCAATACAACTTCAATGTCATACCCCAACAGACCCAATTTCTTTCTTTTTTTTTTTTTAGATGGAGTCTCGCTCTGCCGCCCAGGCTGGAGTACAGTGGTGCAATCTCAGCTCACTGCAAACTCCACCTCCCGGGTTCATGCCATTCTGCCTCAGCCTCCCGAGTAGCTGGGACTACAGGTACCCACCACCACGCCCGGCTACGTTTTTGTGTTTTTTTTTTTTTAGTAGAGACGGGGTTTCACTGTTAGCCAGGACGGTCTCGATCTCCTGACCTCGTGATCCACCCGCCTCGGCCTCCCAAAGTGCTGGGATTACAGGAGTGAGCCACCGCGCCCAGCCCAGACCCTATTTCTTTATTTAAAAAAAAAAAAAAAACACTGATGGCTAGGAACACTTGTTCGTGCTTGTAATCCTAGCACTTTGGGAGGCCAAGGCAGGTGGATCACCTGAGGTCAGGAGTTCGAGACCAGCCTGGCCAACAGGCAAAACCCCGTCTCTACTAAAAAATATAAAAATTAGCTGGATATGGTGGTACCACCTGTAATCCCTGCTACTTAGGAGGCTGAACTCAGCCTCCTGGGAGAATTGCTTGATCTTAGGAGGTGGAGACTGCAGTAAGCCAAGATCGTGCTACTGCACTCCAGCCTGGGTGACATAAAGAACAAGACTCTGTCTCCAAAAAGAAAAATTTGAGAGGGGGTCTCACTATACTGCCAGGGCTGATCTCAAATTCCTGCCCATCTTAGCCCCTCAAAATGTTGGGATTACAGGCGTTAGCCACTGCGCCTGGTCTCATCAAACTCTAAGGCTATGAGGTTTAAAATGTACATTGTGACATTAACAGTCATTTAGTTGTAGTTCTGTCATGTCAAAACTGCCTCGTAACAGGCAGTGAGAAGTGAATTCTCAAAAAAGGATTCTACTCTCTTAATTAGCTGATGTTCATTTAACTTTCTGGTGAAAACAGATAGGAAAAGGCACTGTAAATGTTTCTATGACAGCACTCCTGACAAAATTCACTATTTTCATTCATTTTCCCCAAAGTATTTATTTATAAACCTTATATAGGAATTTGACAGTACAGAACAGTCTCTGCCCTCATGGAGCTTAGACTGGGAGGGGAGGGGGGAGTCTGACTTTAAATTCTCAACTACTATGGCATTTTGTCCATTTACTGTACATTACTTAATTTTACGTTATTTTTCAGACAGAGTCTTGCTCTGTTGCCCAGGCTGGAGGGCAGTGGTGCAATCTTGGCTCACTGCTACCTCCGCCTCCTGGGTTCAAGTGATTCTCCTGCCTCAGCATCCCGAGTAGCTGAGACTATAGGTGTCTGCCACCACACCTAGCTAATTTTTGTAATTTTAGTAGAGACGAGGTTTCACCATGTTGGCCAGGCTGATCTCGAACTCCTGACCTCAGGTGATCCACCTGTCTCGGCCTCCCAAAGTGCTGGGATTACAGGCGTGAGCCACTGTGCCTAGCCTTATTGTACATTACTTTAAATAATACAAAGAAGCTAGGTAAAGGAATCTAGAAGGCTGGGCGCGGTGGCTCAAGCCTGTAATCCCAGCACTTTGGGAGGCCGAGGCGGGTGGATCACAAGGTCAGGAGATCGAGACCATCCTGGCTAACATGGTGAAACCCCGTCTCTACTAAAAATACAAAAAACTAGCCGGGTGTGGTGGCGGGCGCCTGTAGTCCCAGCTACTCGGAGGCTGAGGCAGGAGAATGGTGTGAACCTGGGAGGCGGAGCTTGCAGTGAGCCGAGATCGCGCCACTGCACTCCAGCCTAGGTGACACAGCCAGACTCCGTCTCAAAAAAAAAAAAAAAAAAAAGGAATCTAGAAATACTGCTCAAATTTCAAGTTTTATCATCTGTAACATAGAGATGATGGTTATCTTCCTCACAGGATTCAAGAATTAAATAACAATTATGAAATCATAAATATAAATTTGACAATCAGTATGTGCTCAATATATTAGGTATTAATAGTAAAAACCTGCTTGTTTGGGCAAAAGCTTGGCTTGTCCATTTAATACAATTTAATAAGGACTGGCCAGAAATATCCTAAGCAGATTAAAGATCATATGCAAAAAAGAATTCAGAAGACACTCCTTGACATCAGGACTGCAGCACACTACATCTCCACTAGGAACTGTTCATATCCCAGTGTGTGTCAACAACACCCCCTAGAGTTGGAATACAGGTAACACAATCTTGCTTGGAATTTTACCAAATTTTTACCCATACTTACAAGCTGTGATGAACAGGCTATCTTTTAAAAAATTCTCCCAGTTAATATTGCCACAGTTGTTCTTTATGGCTGTATATAACCCTAATTACTGAAGGGTTGGTGAAGCTGGAGAACTATGTTTATAAAACAAAGAAACTGGCCCTATGGGTCTTCCTTCAGTTTACCCCTCTGCCAAGGTTAGGGTGGTCTGTTATGTTCCAGAATGTTTAGTTGGATTCCCAATTTTCGAACAAAAACTGTACCTTTCTCCTGTGGTTATTTAACACAATTTTTTGCATCTGTCATATTCTTGCCCAGCTTTAAGCCATATTCTTCCTCACAGTCCTTCATTTTCAAACTACACTGCCAAAGAGTTGGCTGATTTGTGATAGAGAATTTAGGCAGTTGAAAATTCAATGATTTGGGCTTTATATCTGCTCTTCCTGTTTTCCCCAACACTTAAAAAAACAAAACTGTAAGACCTACCGCAGTCAATTATAGTAAATAAACCCTACCACTCTGTTGTCCCATGATGAAATCTAGTTGAAGAGTGTGAGTCATCCATTCTTCTAAATCTTTTAAAAATAACACCTCTGTCAGTTTCTGGATAAATCTGAATATTGATATGCTTTTTTTGAACTAAAAATCTATAAGCCAAGAAGAGCTTTTTAAATTATTTTTTCAACTGTGAATCCTGGCTGCTCTCAAGATTACAACTCTACCCTTGGATTAAAATGAGGAGAGAGCTGTGTACTTGACCACATTACCTTGGTCCCTTGTAGAACACCTTTTACTGAATTGTGCTTCAGCATTATGTTGCTGGTTTCCACAGGGAGATCAACTTAACCACTTCTCACCTCTCCTCACACATGGGGAAAATCAGCCCTACGGTGAAAAAAGCTAACTCAATGTTGTCTCAGTGGTAGTGACGAATGAGTCAGATCACTTAAATTCAGTTCCAGTAAGAATGCATCATTGACAACATTGAATAAGGTTAACACAGGCAACTGAAGCAAACAACCTTTTAACAAGAAAAGCAAGCGGCTAAGACTTAATTTTTTCAAAAAAGCAACCTTCTAGTTTTTTACTTTACCTGCTAATGCTTCTGCTGTATCCTGAAATTTCTCAAAATGTTTTAGCTTTACTCTAGAATTAAAAAAAAGAGAGAGAAGCATGTTATTGGGGGTGGGGGACAGTGCATTGATTCAAAAGCCACATAACTTGGAAAGAAGTGCTTGACTGTTTCCAAAGCACACACCAATAAAACATGCCTATCATTGTGTGTCAGGGTGTGAAGTTAAATATTCTTCATAAAATTACTAGTTTTTCTAAATGTTAGACTAGTAATGCTTGGATTATTAAAAGAAAGTTGTAGGCTTTGAAGGAAACTTTGGCCAACTGTAAAGATGTTGAAGCTTTAATACAAACTCCTGTTGCATAAAGCCGTACAGAGATGACTTTATTATACAGCATAGAACTGACTCAAGAAAAAGTATGTGGGTCCCTTTTAAGAATCTCATGATATTCATTTGTCTATCCTGTACAAATGCCATTAAAAAAATAACTTATTGTCAGATCTCATTCTTGTTACATCCTACCCTTTATGTTTTTGAGACAGGGTCTCCCTTCACTGTCACCCAGGCTGGAACACAATGGTGCAATCAGAGCTCACCACAGCCCTGACTTCCCGGGCTCAAAGGATCTTCCAGCCTCAGTCTCCCAAGTAGCTAGGACTATAGTGTGCACCACCACGCCCGGTTAATTTTTGTTTTTGGTAGAGTTCCCTATGTTGCCCAGGCTGGTCTTGAACTCCTGGGCTCAACTGATTCACCTGCCTTGGCCTCCCAAAATGCTGGGATTACAGGAGTGAGCCATCACGCCCGGCCTCAGGGCAGTATTTTATGCAGAAAGAAACATATAGTTGATTCATTGTTGTCTCAGTGGTAGTGACGAATATTGAGTCAGATCACTTAGATTCAGTTCCAACAAGAATACATCATTGACAACAACGAATCAGATTAACCCAACAAAGCATATAACCCTTTAAGAAGGAAAACTAGTCTTCTATTTGCCTAAAACACAGTATCATCTTTTTTTTTTTTTTTTTTTTTTGAGACAGGGTCTCACTCTGCCGCCCAGACTGGAGTGCAGTGGCGCAATTTTGGCTCACTGCAACTTCCACCTCCCAGGCTCAAGGGATTTTCCTGCCTCAGCTTCCTCCGAGTAGCTGGGATTACAGGCATGCGCCACCACGCCTGGCTAATTTTGTATTTTTAGGAGAGATGGGATTTCACCATGTTGGCCAGGCTGGTCTCGAGCTCCTGACCTCAAATGATCCACCCACCTTGGCCTCCCAAAGTACTAGGATTACAGATGTGAGCTACCACGCCCAGCAACAGTGTCATCTTAAGCAAGGTTTTCTTACCTCGTAAAGGAACATGCTAGTGTGGTCCCTTAAATACACATAAAAATACGAAGATTTAGGCCGGATGCGGTGGCTCATGCCTGTAATCCCAGCACTTTGGGAGACCAAGGCTGGCGGATCACCTGAGGTCAGGAGTTTGAGACCTGCCTGACCAACATGGCAAAACTCTGTCTCTACTAAAAACACAAAAATTAGCTGGGCGTGGTGGTGAGCACCTGTAATCCCAACTACCTGGGGGGCTGAGGCAGAAGAATAGCTTGAACCCAGGAGGCAGAGGTTGCCGCGAGCAGAGATCGCGCCACTGCTCTCCAGCCTGGTAGACAGAGCAAGACTGTCTCAAAAAACAAACAAACAAACAAAAAACAAAGATTTAAGATCTACACCAAGAATGAATCTTCCATGAAATTGTGATGAAGGAAAAAGAAGTTCATGCTAGTTTTGCTGTTGCACCTCAAAAAGCAGGTTACAACCCCTGTGTGTGGTAAGTGTTTAGTTAAGATAAAAAAGGTATTACATTTGTGTGTGGAAGACATGAAGACAAATGTGTTCCTGACAGCAATCACATTTGGTACTATCCGAGGTTTAAAGTAACCACTGGGTTTTCTGGAACATAATCCTTGGGGTAAGGGAGGGACTACTGCCTCTAAATTAATTGAGATGGCCTATACTCCAAATAAAATATTTGCAATAATTAGGTTCATACCAAAATTATTCCTGAAACAGATTTCAAAACAGAAAACTACGAACGTTAACATTATCAGGAAAAAATGTAAAATTATCAGGAAAAAATGTAAAAAATAAAACAAGCTCTAAATGTTAACTGTTAAATTACTGATTTCAAGATTACTTACATTTTGTTTGCTTTCTCTGGAGTTTCAAATTCTTTCCATAAACTATCAACCTCTTGAAGTTTCTTCTCATTTAGAACCTATAATAAAATGTTTAGTTTTCTTTAAATGGTACAGGTTAGGCATACACAGCTGCATTCTTCAAGTACAATTTTACATGTAAAATGAGGGTGGTAGAAGCTATTTCTTTCACTAAGATAATGAACTAGTTTTCCTACCATGTATATATTTTTGGTCAAATTACTAGTTCGAATTGCCCATTTAACAGCTGAATGGAATTCAGATCTAGTCCAGTCAGATGTAGTACAGTGGCTATTCACAGTCTAGGATCTACCTGGCCTCAAGTGATATCCCTGCCCCAGCCTTGGACCATAGCTGGAGCTACAGGTCCTGGGGGGTAGGGCAGGGAACCTACCTTTCTTTTTATTTTTTTGAGATGGAATCTCACTCTGTAGCCCAGACTGGAGTGCAGTGGAGCAATCCTGGCTCACTGCAACCTTCACCTCCTGGGTTCATGAGATTTTAGGGCCTCAGCCTCCTGAGTAGCTGGGATTATAGCCGTGCACCACTGCACCTGGTTGAGAACCTTTCTTTTAAAAGAGCCATTAATCCCTTTACAATAAAGTACTGTAATAATTAAAAACTTTTATTTGTGCCAGGTGCGGTGGCTCACACCTGTAACCCCAGCACTTTGGGAGGCGGAGGCAGGCAGATCACCTGAGGTCAGGAGTCCGAGACCAGCCTGACGAACATGGAGAAACCCCGTCTCTACAAAAAAAGAAAATACAAAATTAGCTGGGCGTGCTGGCACATGCCTGTAATCCCAGCTACTCGGGAGGCTGAGGGAGGGGAACTGCTTGAACCCAGAGGCGGAGGTTGCAGTGAGCCGAGATTGTGTGACTGCACTCCAGCCTGGACAACAAGAGCAAAAAACTCCATCTCAAACAAACAAACAAAAAAACCTTTTATTGCCTACTTTCAATAGATATTCATAATTTACTGCTATGATCATCCTAAATGAAAGTATTATGGATTTCTCTAAAACTATCACCAATTGTGAGACACATCTAGATGTGTGAAATTTTTTTAAATGTAGGGTAATCAACAAAATACTCATCAACATTCAGGTATATATTCTCCAAGACTTTGAACGTCTGTGCAACGCATGTTCATGTATACTTTTAGGAATCACATTAAATGTTGTTTTTTTTTTTGAGATGGGGTCTAGCTCTGCCACCCAGACTGGAGTGTAGTGGTGCAATCTTTGGTCACTGCAACCCTGCCTCCTGGGATCAAGCGATTCTCCTGCCTCAGCCTCCCGAATAGCTGGGATTACAGGCGTGCACCACAACACCCAACTAGTTTTTGTATTTTTAGTAGAGACTGTGTTTCGCCAAGTTGGCCAGGCTGGTCTTGAGTTACCGACATCAGACGATCCACCTACCTCAGCTTCCCAAAGAGCTGGGATTACAGGCGTGAGCCACCACACCCAGCCCCCTCGTATTGTTCTGAAGCAAGACCTAGACATTTAATTTTACCTGTTAATATTTCAGTTTGTATCTATAAAATATAAAGACTTGTTTTAAAGCTACTATTATTGTAACAACAATGCTAAAGATTGCGATGGTAATAGTTGCATACTATTTCTACTTAGAAATGGGAATTATTCTATCTTAAAATGATAAAACTTAAAATGGATTTTTGTATACAAATATTTATCATTACCCTGGCTGAAAAGAAATGATTAAAAATTTGAGACAAATAAAAAAATTTTGAGACAAATGTAAAACAGAAAATGTAGCAATATCTCTGAGTTTCTTATTTAGATTGTCTTTATTAGCAATGTTTTCTTCAAGATGTTGTTGCACAGTTGGGAACACAGTGGTTTTGTCATAGTAATGGTTTTGGCTGTCATAACATAGTCTTTGAAAACCTTTGTGTGCTCATGAATTGCCCTGATTTTATTACATCTCCTTTGTTATTTTAACTTCAGTTTAAGAATGGTGATGGTATCTTTTATTTTATTTATTTATTTATTGAGACAGAGTCTCCCTCTGTCGCCCAAGCTGGAGTGCAGTGGCACGATCTCAGCTCACTGCAAGGTCTGCCTCCCGGGTTCACGTCATTCTCCTGCCTCAGCCTCCCGAGTAGCTGGGACTACAGGCGCCTGCACCATGCCTGGCTAATTTTTTGTATTTTTAGTAGAGACGGGGTTTCACCGTGTTAGCCAGGATGGTCTCTATCTCCTGACCTCGTGATCCACCCGCCTTGGCCTCCCAAAGTGCTGGGATTACAGGCATGAGCCACCTCACCAGGCCGGCAGTATCTTTTAAATATGGCAATTTTGTTACCCAAATGTTATCTTCAAATATACTTGCTTTTCAGCTAGAAAAAATGTGAATTTTACTCATGAGTCATATCCCCTAGTTGATACATATCCTCTTAAAAATAGTGAACTTCAGTTACGGTTAGCTGCATTCTCTGAACAATTTCAAAAAATTTTAATCAATGTTTTCAGTATAGTCATGAGGCTTGGCGAGATGTCTTTGGATTCTAAAGCTTCATGATATATAAAGGTAGAACTATTAGTTTATTAATTGTTAATACCAACTCTAGGCTTTGTCGTTGTTTACTGCTTTGTGTGACTAAGTTTTTCTAGTTTGGGTTATTTTTACCAACATATCTAATTCAACCATGTGTGATTAAATTTATACATCAGAACAAATCCCTAAAATCATCTTGTCACGCTCATCTAAGTTTTATACAACTTGCAATTTTGTTTCTTTTACTGAAAATACATAAGCAGACTAGAACTGCGTGTTAATGTGTAAATGTGCTATATTATGGACTTGATAAATAATGCTTATTAGCAAGGTATAGTTTTATATTTACTAGCTGTGTTGTTTTTCCAGAGACAGGGTCTCGCTTTGTTGTCCAGGCTGCAGTGCAGTGGTGTGGTCCTATGTCACTGCAGCCTCAAACTCCTGGCCTCAAGCGATTCTTCTGCCTCGGCCTCCCAAGTAGCTAGGACTAAAGGCGCACACTGCCACACCTAGCTATTTTAAAAATATTTTTGTAGAGACAGGGGCTTGCTTTATTGCCCAGGCTGATCTCTAACTTCTGGACTCAAGTGATCCTCTTGCCTTGGTTTTTCAAAGTGCTTCGAGTACAGGCAGGAACCATGGTGCCTGACCCAGCTGGTTTTTAAATAAAAATATATGCATAATATCTATGCATACTATATTTCACCAAATATAATATGCTATTTTTTTTTTGAGACAGAGTCTTGCTCTGTTGGCTAGGCTGGAGCACAGTGGCATGATCTCGGCTCACGACAACCTCCACTTCCCTGGTTCAAGAAATTCTCCTGCCTCAGCCTCCCAAGTAGCTGGGATTACAGGCACATGCTGCCATGCCTGGCTAATTTATTTATTTATTTATTTTGTATTTGAGTAGAGACAGGGTTTCACCCTGTTGCCCAGGCTGGTCTCCAACTCCTGAGGTCTGGCAATCTTCCCGCCTCAGCCTCCCAAAGTGCTGGGATTACAGGCGTGAGCCACCACACCCGGCTTATGCTATTCTTTTACACTCCCAATTGACCTGTCATCAATTTTAAGACATCCCAATTTTAGGGATGTTAAATATGGGGGTTGTGCATTTTAGGATTAATCCCATCCTATCCAATACTTTGGCAGTTGACACAGAATATTGGTGAGGCTGTATGGAATTAATAATTTTAATCACTTTTTTTTTTTTGAGATAGTGCCTCGCCCTGTCACCCAGGCTGGAGTGCAGAGGCGCAGTCTTCTCACCGCAACCTCCACCTCCCTGGTTCAAGCGATTCTCCCGCCTCAGCTGGGACTACAGATGCATGCCACCATGCCTGGCTAATTTTTGTATTTTTAGTAGAGACGGGGTTTCACTATGTTGGCCAGGCTGGTCTCAAACTCCTGATCTCATGATCTGCCCACCTCAGCCTTCCAAAGTATTGGGATTACAGGTATGAGCCACCATGCACAGCCTCCTAATTTTCATTTTTAATTGATTGCTTGAGACTTTGTGTGGTTTTCGTTTTGTTTCGTTTTTTTTTTGAGATGAGGTCTCACTCTATTGCCCAGGCTAAAGTGCAGAGGCCCAATCGCGGCTCACTGCAGCCATGATCTCAGCCTCTTGCAGTAGCTGGCACTACAGGCAAGCACCACTGTGCCCAGCTAATTTTTTTCCCACCATGTTGCCCAGGCTGGTCTGCAACTCCTGGGCTCAAACAATCCTCTTGCCTCACCTCCCAAAGTGTTAGGGTGACAGGCATGAGCCACTGCACCCAACCTCTGTATTTGTAAATACGTGATGCTAACTTTTACTTCCCCAGAAAATATGAGCAAGTAATGTTTTATGAAACTTGTTTGAATACAGGATAAAACTGATAATTAGTTTAAAATGTGCACGGCTCAAAAAGAAACAAATCCATACACGCAACAAGAGTGAAAAAGCTCTTGGGTTAGCTTCAGAAGCACTAGGCTAAGTGAAAAAAGCCAAACACAAAAGACTAAAATACTACTCCATTTACATGAAACTTCTAGAAAAAATTATGCAAAGAAAGCTGATCAGTGGTTGTCTAGAGCAGGACTAACTTGAAAATGGGCAAAACTTTTTGCAACAAAGTGTACTAGAAAACTGGACTGCAACTAAAACCTACAGGCGAGTTATACAGTATGTAAAGTACCCCTAATAAAGTTAGAAAAAATATATTGCTCAGTGCCTAGGTTTTATACAGACATTTGGTATATAAACCAAAAATCTTTCTCCAAACCTTGAGAAAACGAAGTGACACAAAATGCTATGCTACACTGTACAATATAACCATTAAAATTCAAATAAGTTAAAATGCACTTCCTCAGTCCTATCAGTTATATCTCATGTGAAATAGTTATACGTACTAATGGCTACCACATGAGGAGCAGCTGAAGAAAGTCTGGTATGAGCAAGACTAAAATCTTATGCTGTGTGCCACGTGACACAAGGACACAGGTGTAAATTTTTTTTTTTTTTTTTGAGATGGAGTCTTGCCTTGTCACCCAGGCTGCAGTGCAGTGGTGCGACCTCAGCTCACTACAACCTCTGCCTCCCAGGTTCAACTGATTCTCCTGCCTCACCCTTCTGAGTAGCTGGGATTACAGGTGTGAGCCACTGCACTCGGCCACAGGTTGAATTTTTATAATATCTTAGAATTAATCACAAAAGTTGCTTTACACAATGTCTTTATATTAATATATATACATATATATAACCCTGTTAATGAACAATAAAGTTTTGAAGTGTTTTCCTTTCGAATCGCTCTAAATACGGAAGTGGGCAGAACACTGTACCTCATGCCTGTAATCCCAGCACTTTGAGGCCAGGAGTTAGAGACCAGCCTAGGCAACATAGGGAGACTCTGTCTCTTAAAAAAAAAAAAAAAAAAAATTGTAGGCAGACCATTGATAAGCCAATTCCTTCCTACCATGGGAGACAACCAGTGCACTGTGCACAGTTGCTCCTCTTAACATCCGGTTCAGGACAGCATATTGTATCAATTAACGGTGAAATTCGTCGACAGACACTGACAGACCACATTGGCTAAGAGAATTTGGAGCTATGCAGAACTCTACATGAGATTTTAGATAAGATTCCAAAAAGCTGGAGAAAAGTAAAATTGACATGTTTCGTAGCTCTAAAGGGGACTAAGTAACTTAAAATCCTGAAAACTACTAACACTGCAATTACAGATAACTCCAATTAAGGTAAAAACAAGCAAAACTGCCTTTTCGGTTTTAATGATTTTATTGGTTTTCTTAAAAATAAGTATTTGACGTATCAAATGCAAACTGCATATTTTCAAATGTCAGAAGTGAAACATGGAGAACTCCGCACCCATCTAGACCTTCTGCATCCACACCACAAATGGTTTTTTTTGGTTCACAGCTAAAATTGTATTGCATTTATTTTTATCTAGCGTTTTTTGCTTTCTACCAACACATATATACGTAGAATATACATAAAACTTTATTTTTCATTGCTATATTCGCAGAGCTCAGAAGAGTGCACGGCACAAAAGGCACTCAATCTCACTCATTCTTACTGACATCTCAACAGCATCTTGCGATACGAATGTCTTACCGTTCAACCATTTCAGTGCTGACGAACTTGTCAAACTCTCCCCATGAAAACAATCAAATCTCAAATTGACATCACCAGCCCAGATTGTTTCCCCTAAGCTTCGAATCTGAAATACTGAACTGCCCGATCTACACAACTGCATTATCAGGTCTAATAAACATTGCAAGCTTTGCACAGCCCAAACCGGAAATCTTTCGTCCTTCCCCCGCAAGAAACTTTCTTAACATCTTATTTAAACCAAAACTCCAAATTCAATCTATCAGCCAATCCTTTCTGTTCTACCTTCAAAATTTCTATCGATATTTGTTTATCTCCATACCAGGCAATTTCATCTTGTCTAAATGAATGCAAAAGTATTCTTGCTGCCTTTCTTACATCCTCGAGTCTAATCTCCACATAGCAGAGTAACCGTATTAAGACCAATTAGCAGGTCATTCCTTTGCTTAAATCCTTTCGATCGGCAGAGCACGGTGGCTCACGCCTGTAATCCCAGCACTTTGGAGGACGAGGCAGTTGGATCACTTGAGATCAGGAGTTCAAGACCAGCCTGGCCAACATGGTGAAACCCTGTCTCTACTAAAAGACAAACAAACAAACAAACAAAGCAACTAGCCAGGCGTGGTGGTGGATGCCTGTAATCCCAGCTACTCGGGAGGCTAAGGCAGGAGAATGGCTTGAACCCGGGAGACGGAGGTTGCTGTGAGCCAAGATTGCGCCACTGCACTCCAGCATGGGCAACAAGAGCGAAACTCCATCTCAAAAAACAAAACAAAACAACAACAAAAAAAAAACCTTTCGATCATTCCTTAAAACATCTAGAAGAAAATCCGAATTTCCTATAACTATACTGTTAAATTCTAACACGCCTCCTGCCCGCCTCTTCAACGGAGGAAATAAAATCCTTTAACGCAGAACTGGTCTCCCCAAACGGCGGGGCCACGTGTTACCCGTAACAAGGCTCTCAGATGTAAAGGCCTTCTCCCTCCTCTCAGAGCCCGGGCCATAACAGGCACCCACGCTACCCTGAGTAGTTCTGTGCTTAAGTCTTTCCCTCTCCTTGTCTGTCCAGCACCCGCCTTCCCCCTTTAACGGCTCGCTCTCCCACCTACCTTAAAGATGGCGTAGCCCACAGACGTTTCAAACAGCACCAACATGGTGAGGCCGGGTCAGGGCGCCGCACGGCCCACCACGAGCTGTGGACTCAGTTCAAAAACACCGACTACGCGGCCCCAAAAAGTCCCCTAAGCCGCGGCGGGCAAAGCACAAACGTGCTAGCCGTCCCGCAGAGAATCAGAACACGTTACCTAAGCTCTCCACGCTGTACTGGGACTAGGACGCAAGAAAGCGCTTCTCCTTCTCTAAGGATTCTGGGATAGCGACGTCACTTCCGACAGAAGACTGCCGCAGAGATTGCCGTCACTTCCAGAATGTTCCCGCCACACGGGGCTGGGTCGGGAGGAGAAAGTTTGTATCGTGGGATCTAAGGACTGAACGGAGCCTTTGCGCCTTTTTTTCTTTTTTCTTTTCTTTTTGAGACGGAGTCTCGCTGTGTTACCCAGGCTGGAGTGCAGTGGTGTGATCTCGGCTTACTGCACCCTCCGCCTCCCGGGTTCAAGCAATTTTCCTGCCTCAGCCTCCGGAGTAGCTGCGACTAGAGTCACACACCACCATGCCCAGCTAATTTTTGTATTTTTAGTAGAGACAGGGTTTCAGCATGTTGGCCAGAATAGTCTCGATCTCTTGACCTCGTAATACGCCCACCTCGGCCTCCCAAAGTGCTGGAATTACAAGTGTGACCCACCGCGCCCAGCCTTTTTTTTTTTTTTTTTTTTTTTTTCTGTTTTGAGACAGCCTTGCTGTCCCCCAAGCTGGAGTGCAGTGCCACCATCACGACTCACTGCAACCTCCAACTCCCAGGCTCAAGCGGTCCTCTCACCTCAACCTCTCCAGCAGCTGGGACTACAGGCCTGTGCCACCACACCCAGCTAATTTTTTGTAGAGACAGGGTTTCGCTATGTTGCCCAGTTTGGTCTCGGACTCCTGACCTAAAGCGATCCTCCCACCTCGGCCTCCCAAAGTGCTGGGTTGCAGGCGTGAGCCTCCCCTAGAGATTTAAAGGGGAAAAATTTCACATTCTTATTTTGTTAACCCTCTATGAATTATATGTTTACTTTGAGAGAAGCGTGGAGCTGTCTCGGTGCCTGTCTGTCTCAGGCATCTAGAATTTGAAATGCCAGCTACTGCCCTTAGACTTTATCTCCTTTCAAGCCCTTCCTTGAGGCGAAGGCCTCAGAATGACACCATTACTGTCACTATATTTGTAAGCATTCCTGGCCATTCTGTCTGGCCAAATTAATTATTAGCACAGTTTTCTCTCAATGTTCTCCCATGTTTGCTGCATTTGTTAAAATGACCCAAGGGTGTGAATTTAGACTTTTTTCTTGGTTTTTTGTTTTTTTTTTTTTTGAGATGGAGTTTCACTCTTGCTGCCCAGGCTGGAGTGCAATGGCACGATCTCGCTTCACTGCAACCTCCGCCTCCCGGGTTCAAGTGATTCTCCTGCCTCAGCCTCCTGAGTAGTTGGGATTACAGGTATGCGCCACCTTGCCTGGCTAATTTTGTATTTTTAGTAGAGATAGGGTTTCTCCAGGTTAGTCAGGCTGGTCTCAAACTCCCGACCTCAGGTGATCCGCCCGCCTTGGCCTCCTGAAGTGCTGGGATTATGGGCACGAGCCACCGTGCGCGGCTGAATTTAAACTGTCTTCTTGGCATAGTGTTACTTGCTTTTCTGGAGGCTTTTCAGTCTCAGGGACTGGGATTAAATACCCCAGTTATTTCACAAGTCTGTCTTCCAACAGGAGTAAAATTTCCTCACTCACTTCCCAGGCCCTATATGCAGATTGCTCCTAATCATTAAATTGCAACCTGCTTGGAGAATTGCTTGAACCCAGGAGGTGGAGGGTGCAGTGAGCCGAGGTGGCACCACTGCACTCCAGCCTAGGTGACACAGCCAGAGTCCGTCTACAAAAACAAAAAGTTGCAACCTGCTCAAGATTGTGGAACATTAAATAGGTAGCAACTCTGCAACCTGAGATCAAGAGGAAAGAAAATCCTGGGTTGAATAACAGAAAGTCACAGGACAGAGGAATCTAGAGTGAATTTTTTTTTTTTTTTTTTTTTTTTTTTTTTTTTTTTGAGACGGAGCCTCACTCTGTCGCTCAGGCTGGAGCGCGGTGTCGTGATCTCAGCTCACTGAAGCCTCCGCCCCTTGGGCTCAAGCGATTCTCCTGCTTCAGCCTCCCCAGTAGCGGGTATTACAGGCACACACCACTGTGCCCGGCTAATTTTTGTATTTTTAGTAGAGATGGGGTTTCCCCATGTTGACCAGGCTGGTCTTGAACACTTGACCTCTGGTGATCCGCCTGCCTCAGCCCCCCAAAGTGCTTGCTGGGATTACAGGCGTGAGCTACCATGCCCGGCCTAGGGTGAATTCAAGAGCATAATTGGCCGAGTGCATGGTTCACACCTACTATGATCCTGCCATTGCATTCCAGCCTGGACTACTAAGCAAGACCCTATCTCAAAAAAAAAAAAAAAAAAAAAAAAAAAAAGCAGCATGGTTGATTGTAGTTATAGCTATAATCCAGTGTGGTCAGGGAGACAAGAGAGATGAAAATTACCTAATTGGGAGAGGGGTATGTGTCAGTGGACGAGATAGAAACACCATGTCTGTTTATAGTGTTATTTAACAGCACAGTATTTTTCTGTCTAGTCTCCTTAGCAGAAGTGACATCTGCTAGAGAATTGAGTATACTTTACATGTATTTGTGTCTGTATAGGATGTTATGTTGTGCTACTGATGAAATAGAATCTCATTAATTCTTAAAAATTTAATGAATGAATGTCTGCAGGAAGTAAAATTCTTTTCTTTACATTTAAAGCCTTAAATCCCTTTCCCAAAAAGAAATGAAACCACTTATTCAATGAGAAATATCTTTACCATGGTATCTCCTATAATTTGTCCTTGCACATTACCATTTACATAGTCATCTCCATATGATGCTTTAATCAGGAGTTCAGAGCTGACTCTGATTTTGAGTTTGTAACTTGGCCAAATAAAGTAATTAGAGATTTTTTCTTGCAAGGGAGAGGTAAGAGTCTTAGTACTTTGTTAAAGTACTGAGTCAAGGGGAGATAGCACAAAGAAATATAAAAAGGAGAATATAGGAGAGTACAGATGATAGAAGGGCTTACAATTTTTTTTTTTTTTTTTTTTTTGAGACAGAGTTTCGCTCTTGTTGCCCAGGCTGGAGTGCAATGGCATGATCTCAGCTCACTGCAACCTCTGCCTTCCGGGTTCAAGCGATTCTCCTGTCTTAGCCTCCTAAGTAGCTGGGATTACAGACATGTGCCATCACACCCAGCTAATTTTGTATTTTTAGTAGAGACAGGGTTTCTCCATGTTGGTCAGGCTGGTCTTGAACTCCCAGGCTCAGGTGATCTGCCCCCCTTGGCCTCCCAAAGTGCTGGGATTACAGGCGTGAACAACTGCGCCAAACCAGGGGCTTATAGTTTTACTGGTGGTTAACATGGTGAAATGACAAGGATGAGAAACATGGTTCGTGTGTCCTCTCTGTACACCCCACCTCCACCCCTGTTCCAACTAGAATATAAACTCTATAAAAGTTTGTTGCAAAATCTGCAAGTACTAGGCTAGTATCTGGCACATAGTAGAGATTCCATAAACATGACTAATAAGTAAGTAAATGAATAAATGGAATGAGTGAATAGTGGGATAATTTCAAGGTGCTGGTAGAGCCTCCAGGGACTTTTAGAAACCTATTAAGATTAGCAAAAGATATCATTTTGCTCAGACACCTTCCACGTGCCTGGTAACAAGAAGGGGATGTTCTGGATGGTGAACATTTTTTTTTTTTTTTGAGATGTAGTCTCATTCTGTTGTCCAGGCTGGAGTGCAGTGGCGCGATCTTGGCTCACTGCAAGCTCCACTTCGGATTCACGCCATTCTCCCACCTCAGCCTCCTGAGGAGCTGGGACTACAGGCGCCCGCCACCACGCCCAGCTAATTTTTTGTATTTTCAGTAGAAACGGGGTTTCACCATGTTAGGTAGGAGGGTCTCTATCTCCTGACCTCATGATCTGCCCGCCTCATCCTCCCGAAGTGCTGGGATTACAGGTATGAGCCACCGCACCAGGCCTTGTGAACATCTTTTATATATTCAACAGATATTTGAGTGTCTACTCTGTGCCAGGCATTCTTTTTCTTTTTTTCTGGGGGGGGGGGTGGAGTCTCACACTGTCGCCCAGGCTGGAGTGCAATGGTGGGATCTCGGCTCACTGCAACCTCCACCTCCCAGGTTCAGGAATTCTCCTGCCTCAGCCTCTTGAGTAGCTGGGACTATACAGGCGCGCACTACCACGCCCAGCTAATTTTGGCATTTTTAGTAGAGACAGGGTTTTGCCGTGTTGGTCAGGCTAGTCTTGAACTCCTGACCTTGTGATCTGCCAACTTTGGCCTCCCAAAGTGTTGGGATTACAGACATGAGCCACCGCACCTGGCCTGTGCCAGGCATTCTTACAGGCACTAAGGACACAGCAGTGAAAGAAATATGTAAAAATCTCTATACTTATTATTACTCTTATTTTCCTTCTCAGAGAAGTTAAGTAATGCAAGATCATATAATCTTCCTCATAGTTTCCTTTAGGACTACCCAGAAGATGGACATGGAAATTGTTTCTATCATACAATCACTGACCTGCCATGTACAGTGCTATATTTTATTTATTTATTTATTTATTTTTTTTGAGACAGAGTCTTGCTGTGTCATGCAATGGTGCAATCTCAGTTCACAGCAACCTCCACCTCCCGGGTTCAAGCGATTCTGCCGCCTCACCCTCCAGAATAGCTGGGATTTCAGGCACCCGCCTTTATGCCTGGCTAATTTTTGTATTTTTGTAGAGACAAGGTTTCTGCATGTTGGCCAGGCTGGTTTTGAACTCCTGACCTCAGGTTATCGCCCACCTCAGCCTCCCAAAGTGCTGGGAGCTGGGATTACAGGCGGGAGCCACCGCGCAGGGTCTACAGCGCTGTATTTTCTTGCTGTGGTGTCTGCTGGTATTGCAGACCTCTACTGTGTTGACTGCTCCCACTTTGTTGAACACAGGTGCTGCCCACAGGATTGCCTACCTTCTCTATATCGCTACCTTCATGGGTTGATGTCCCTTTCCAGCCAACAGGGAATCAGCTTTTGTGCCTTCTAATTTGTTCTTTCAGAGTTATTGGCCTCTTGTGTCACATGTCTTTCTTTTTGCCAGAGTCCTTTTTTTTCCAGAGATCATAGGTGCTTG